TTGTTTTGTTTTGTTTTGTTTTCTATTGAACATTTTACATGTGGGAATAACTCTGGAGTCCACAGCGTATGGCCAGAGTAGCACAGATTAGCTAAAGATGGTCCCTGAATTTACTAGAGCTCCAGCACCATTTATGCAATTCACAAGTATTTACTGAGCACCTATTACGTGTCAGGTGCCATTTCCATACTTGGGGCTCTCCTCATAAACAAAACAGACATAGCTCCATGCATCATGGAGTTTACATTTTAGCAGAGGGAGATATAATGCAGCAAATAAGAAATGTTAAGGGATGATGGAAGGTGACAGTTGCTGAGGGAAAAGCAAGACATGTAGGAGTATAAAGTGATTTTGGATGCTGCCACATGGACTAGGGGGGCCCGGGGCCTTTTGCCATCTTATATAAGTTCATCAGGCAAAGAAAGTACTAAAGATGTGGATAGTTTGTTCTCCCCTTGCAAATAGAAATAAGAAGACAGAGATTGCATAAGAGAGCAGGTAAAGAATAAGTTAGTATTCCTTTGGCCCAAGATACTCACTTAAACTCAGCAGGCTCCTGGAATTGATGAAATGGTCCATAAATACCTTTCCTACCATTTGAGTTTTCTCGGTGAAATCGCCAACCAGGTTTTCAGTCTTACTCACGATGCCATTCACTTTTTTCCCTATTGTCTGTAACTCTTGCTTATCTAACACCTTCTTTTCTTTCAAGTCCTCCAAGAAGCCACCAAACATGGTGCTGGCAATCATCTTTATCTCATTGACTGGATCTTGTGGCGATCTCTTCTCTGTGAGAACAATAGGGTTTTAGGAATTGACAGGACTTTAGATCTCTGATTCTAGGCCCATGGTTCTCAAATTTAACAAGGGAGAGTATCTGAGAGCTTGGTAAGCAGAGCTTCCTGAACCCCATTCCCAGAAATCTGATTTAATAGGTCAGAGTGGAGTGCATGAGTCTTTAGTTCTACCAATCTCAGGTGATATCAAAACTACTGTTCTGAGGACCACACGCAAAGTACCACCAATCTTCCCCAAGCCTATGCTTTTTTACTGGTGGAGAAAATGAGCCTTGGGGAAGGAAGCAACTTCATTAAGTAGCTTAGTGATGGCTGCCTCATTTCAGCTTGGTATCATCTGTGATCCCTTTGCTTCCTGTCACTTTTATCAATAACTCTTTTATAAAAACACACTGTAGTTAATATGTATAGAAGTAAAGCATGAAAGTATTACCACCTATGGAAGAATGCTTGTTTGTTTCCCCGGCCAGGGCTGGCAGGGTGGGTCTGTATTCTGAAATTGAGAGCACACATTGTGGCTGGCTTGCTCTCTGCTGGAAACGAAAGGTCACACAGAGAGCAGAAATATGGAGGAAATGAAATACACTCTCTTCAACTGGATAGCCCTCACCCTGAAGAGAACACTTAAGAAATGGTTAGAACACTCAGTATGAGCTCAAAGAAAAGACTCAAATCACAGGAAAGTTCTGAGAATGTAGGTCCAGATAGTTTACACTTCTTTTTTTTTTTTTCTCCAAAAAGCCTTAGCTTCTCAGCCAAAATACTTTGTCTGCTCCACACTTGCTTCCTGTGCCCCAAGCTCCCATCCCTCACATTCCCAGAGTAAAACAGTTCTGTCTCATGAGAGCCCCTTTCAGGGCTCTACCTCCTGCCCCGCACTCCTTCCTCCTGAGCTGTAACTCCCCCAGAACATGGGCCTAAACCACAGAAAACCGGAGGCACTCACCAGCCATTGCTGCTCTGGCTCTCTGGGCAGGAAATGTAGTGAAAATGAAAGCAGTCTTCTCCCTTTCCTCTCAGTGGACTGGTGTGCTGGTGTTGCCTAAAATGGGAAACTACAGCCTTTCAAATTCTCTTGTCCATGCAGAGGTAGAATTTGACTCTTCTTCTGGTATGTATCTTACTTCCTCTGGCAGGCGAGAATTCTACCACTGAACCACCAATGCCCCACTCTTACTTCCTTTGGAAAACAGGAAGCAAACCTGTCTTTTCTCTTTACTCTCACACACAGTTTCTATGTTCTGTTTTGCAGTCTATTTTGACACAGTTAAGAAGTCAAACTGACCCTCATTCGTCTCTGTGCCACCCCTTAGCCACTAAATGGCAGAGAGGCCTCACCACGGATGCCCACTCAGCCCCCAAAGTGAGATGTGAGTTTGCAAGGCTTAAAGGGGAGCAGGAAACTGACTGGAGCCCAACAAACAGTGCTACTCCTGCCACTGTTTTTAAAAACCCAGGTAAGTGATCTCTTTTCTTCTCTTTCCTGATCTGTGTACTTGTCAGTCCTGGGAAAATGTGCGTATTTTGGTTTATTGACTCTTTTACTCAAGATGAGTTTTTTAAACAATAGATGTGCTATCAACATTAAATAATTTAATTTTTATGTAATGGAGTAAGATCATCTGCCTTCTTTAATCTCATACCACAAACTAACCACAGTTATATGCTTAGCTTACATCAGTGAGAATTTTTGTCCTGTGCTTTTTAAAAGCACTCAGTGTAGTACTGATGTTATTGATGGCCCCCGACAGGAGTCTCTTTGAATCCTTTGGTCTGACTATAAACTCACCTCTGACTTGGTTTTGCCATTGTGATACAGTAAATGGACCCTGTGCAGCTCTTTGCCAGGTCAGGAGACATGTGGTTCATTTCTCAATCTTGGACACCTGACAGTCCATGTGAACAAGCCTGGGCTAGATTGCTAGAGAATCAGAGAAATCACATGGAGCTGCCTACCCTGTGTGCAGGTGATCTCAGACACATGGATAACCCCAGAGACAAGAAGAACCACAGGGCTGACTGATCACCTTGTGAACAATAGTAAAGGCTCATCGTTTTAAGTCACTGTGTTTTAGGGCAGTTTCTCACCAATAGAGAAACACATACTTACTGTCTATCCTCCCCAAAGCAATATACACATTTAATGCAATCCCTATCAAAATAACACCAGCATTTTTCACAGAACTAGAACAAACAGTCCCATAATTTGTATGGAATCACAAAAAATCCTGAATAGCCAAAGCAGTTTTGAAAAGGAAAGGCAAAGCTGGAGGCATCACAATTCCAGGCCTCAAGCTATATTACAAATCTGTAGTCATCAAGACAGTATGGTACTGGCAGAAAAACAGACACATAGATCAATGGAATAGAATACAAAGCCCAGAAATGGACTTTGTATTTCTGTATACACAGGGAACTGTATGGTCAACTAATCTTTGACAAAGCAGGAAAGAATATCCATGGATAGAAGACAGTCTCTTCAACAAATGGTGGTGGGAAAACTGGACAGGAACGAGCAAAAGAATGAAACTGGACCACTTTCTTACACCATACACAAAAATAAATTTAAAATTTATTTCCTGTGAGATAAGAAACCATCAAAATCCTGGAGGAGAAGGCAGGCAGCAACCTCTATGACATTGGCTGTAGCAACTTCTTACTAGACACATCTCCAAAGGCAAGCGAATCAAAGGCAAAAATGAACTATTGGGACTTCATCAAGATAAAAAGCTTCTGCACTGTGAAGGAAACAACAAAACTAAAACAACCTGTGGAATGGGTGAAGATATTTGCAATGACACACCTGATAAAGGGCTAGTATCTAAAATCTATAAGGAACATTTCAAACTTAACACCCAAAAAACAAATAACCCAGTGAAGAAATGGGCAGAAGACATGAATAGACACTTTTCCAAAGAAGCTGCAGATGGCTAACAGACATGAAAAGATGCTCAACATCACTTATCATCAGGAAAATACAAATCAAAACCAGATGAGATACTATCTCACACCTGTCAGAATGGCTAAAATTAACAACACAGGAAACAACAGATGGTGATGAGGTTACTGAGAAAGGGGAACACACTTACACTTTTGATGGGAATGTAAAGTGGTGCAGCCACTCTGCTGAGCAGTATGGAGGGTTCTCAAAAAGTTAAAAATAGAGGGCACCTAGGTGGTTCAGTCAGTTAAGAGTCTGACTCTTGATTTTGGCTCAGGTCATGATCTCAGGGTCGTGAGATCAAGCCCCAAGTCAGGTTCTGCCCTGGGTGTGGAGCCTGCTTAGGATTCTTTCTCTCTCCCTCTGCCCCTCACCACCCCCCACTGCATGCTCTCTCTCACACAAAAAATAAAAAAAAAAATAGAACTACCCTACAACCCAGCAGCTGCACTACTAAGTATTTACCCAAAGGATACAAAAATAGAGATTTGAAGGGGTACATGCACCCCGATGTTTATAGCAGCATTATCAACAATAGCCAAACTGTGGAAAGAGCCCAGATGTCCATTGACTGATGAATGGATAAAGAAGATGTGGTATGTATATGTACAATGGAATGTTATTCAGCCACAAAAAGTAATGAAATATTATCATTTGCAATAACACGATGGAACCAGAGTTTATTATGCTAAATGAAATGTCAGTCAGAGAAAGACAAATACTATATGACTTCAGTCATATGTGGAATTTAAGAAACAAACAGATGAACACAGGGGAAGGGGAAAAAAACAGAGAGGGAAGCAAACCATAAGAGATGCTTAACTACAGAGAGCAAACTGAGGGTTGATGGAGGGAGGTGGGGGAGGGGATGGGCCAGATGGGTGATGGGTATTAAGACAGGCACTGGTGGTGATGAGCCCTGGATGTTGTGGGTAAGGGATGAATCATTAAATTCTACACCTGAAACCAATTTTACCATATATGTTAACTAACTAGAATTCAAATAAAAACTTGAAATTAAATAAATAAATAAATGAATGAATGAATAATTTAACCCTCATTTCTTCTTGTAAATGTTGCTCAGTAGCTTAATTATCCCTATGTAATTCTCTGTATAGAAGTTGATAATAGTTGCACCCATACAATTTCCTTTATCTACAATTACACTATTATTTTTCACCTGTATTTTTTATTTTACATTGTCTAACGTCCTAAGATTTTCATTGACTTCTGCATCCCCAACCAGGTGTTCTGTGCTTTGTTCATACAATAACTCTAAATGTTAAGAAACAATGAAAAGCATTTATATTATTGTTGGCTATGTGTATTATCTCTGGCCAAGCACTGGGTTGGGACTATATTTCCATATTTTGGGGGCTGATCCCTCCAGGAATTGTCCATTCAGAGAAGACTATTTCTAGCCTCAAGATCTACCACCTTGCTATAATCTGGTCACACATGCTTGCTCTCCTCTCCTATAATTCTAGGCTAAGGTATCCCTTCCCACTTGACTCCTTCACACTCTCTGACCTAAGGACATCATTCAATTATAGTCCCAATGCTGTCCTACATCATTTTCCCACTGAATGATGTCACTGCTATAACCATAAAACACATTATAATGAACCCATTAAATACACACACACACACCCTGTTCCCCACAACTCCTCAAAACCTCCCCAAACTCCCTTTATTCTCTCTCAAATCAGTTCCAATCAGTCTTTTGTCTATTCTTGTACCAAAGAAAAATGCTTGTTAATGTAACCAGTATCTTCCACAGTGCCAAATTAAATGTTTAATCCTCAATCACTGTTTTGACCAATTAGAAGTATTTCATAGTGATATTTGCACCTCTTCCAGAAACCCTTCATTCATTTGCCTTCCAAGTCACAACTGTGTCTTGGTTCTCCCGTTACTTCACTGGCTGCTTTCTTAGTGAACTTTGCTAGTAATTCATATCTCAAGGCCTCTGTTCTATGTATCCTCACTTATTTAGCAGCCCAATCTAGTATCTTGGTTTTCAATCCTGTTGATACAGATATACAGCACACGAGTTCACCCTCCAACCAATACCTATCCCCTGAATGTCACAATCATATAGCCAGTATCATATGGGCATCGATTTGAGAACCTGGTCGACATCTTAGTCCCCCTAAACCTACCACCTGTGAGAGGGTTTTCCATGTTATTCTTCCAGTTTTTCAAAGTAGAACACTTAATTCTTTTTTTTTAAAGATTTTATTTATTTATTTGAGAGAGAGAGAGAGAGAAACAGTATGAGAGGGGAGAAGGTCAGAGGGAGAAGCAGGCTCCCCGCTGAGCCGGGAGCCCGATGTGGGACTCGATCCCAGGACTCCGGGATCATGACCTGAGCCGAAGGCAGTTGCTTAACCAACTGAGCCACCCAGGCGCCCGAGAACACTTAATTCTTACGTCCTTTCTCTCACTGTTGAGAGACAATTCTGTTGGCTTTACCTTCCATTCATGAAGATTGCTCTCTCCTCTGCCATCCTTCTTCCAGATCCAGACTACCATCAACTCTGAATTTCTGCCGTAGCTTTCTGAGACCTCTTTCTGGGTCTTCCTTGGCCCCATCCTTCTTATTGTCATCTCAACCCCGTAGCCAGAGTGATCTTGATAATATGTAACTCTAATAACTTAATTCATTCATCTGCTCAAAATTTTCAAGTAGTTTTCTATCTTACAGCAAAAAGTGAAAGGTCTTTTATAGTCATAGCACCCTGTGTGGTCTGGACCTTGGGCAATTCTTTGATCTCATGTCCTTTCCTTCCGCCACTCCTCTCTCTGCCCATGGATTCCAGCCACATGAACCTCCTTGCTCCTCCTCAAACACACCAGGCACAGTCCTGTCTCGGGCCATTTCTCCTTGCTTTCCCCTCTGTCTGGAATGCTCTTCCTTCACATGTCTCATGGCCGGCTCCCTCTCTTTCGTCGGGTCTTTTCTACCAATAAATTCATCTCTATATATAATATAAATATACATATAGTTTCTGTATCACTCTCTTCCCCACTAAATTACAAGCTCCATGAGGACAGGAACTGTGTTTTCTGCTTGATGCCCAATGCCTTACGTACAGTCATTATTCACTATTTGCAGGTTTACAGAATAAATGAATCTTTTATTGATTTTGTGCATTTTTAAAAGTCCTTCCCCTGGGGCACCTGGGTGGTGCAGTTGGTTAAGTGTCTGACTCTTGGTTTCAGTTCAGGTCATGATCTCAGGTTCATGAGATCAAGCCCCGCATCAGACCCCACACTCAGGGCAGAGTCTGCATGAGATTCTCTCTCCCACTCCCTCTGCCCTTCTGCTCATGGTCTCTCCCTCTCTAACATAAATAAATAAAATCTTAAAAAATAAATAAATAAAAAGTCCTCCCCCTGGTTTCTGAGCCTTCTTTTTCTTTTATCATCTTTGAATTCACTTTTATTTTCATTTTTTAAGCTTTGTTGACATATAATTTATATGCAAACATTACACTTGTTTAATGTATACAT